TAAAGCCTTTTCTACTTCCTAGAAAGTGGGCTTTACTTCAGATAATTTAATTTGTGTTCTCATTATGTAAGTGTATGTATTAATATATTGTGTAAAGATTTGTTTAATTCAAATTATTTATATATATAGAAAAAAAATGAAAGAGGATTTTATTTGTGATTGTCTTCATAATTCTGGTAAAACTTGTGATAAAGCTTGTACTCGATTTGAAGGTTGTCGATTGCATTACAAAGCTAAAAAGCGTCAGCCTTGCATGAAATCAGGATGTGGTAAGCCTACTGGATTATCTTATGATCGTTGTTATCTTCATACTAGAGGCTATTATATGATTCAATATATTAATAGACTTCAGGATAAGGCCTTGATGTTTGATATGTGTTCAAGAGGTTAGATTTTTAGTAAAGATAGATTTATTATATAGTTAGTTGAAAGGTTAGACTTTTTTTGCGGTTAGATTTTACATATAAGTATACGAAAGATTAGACTTTTTTGTTTCAGGATTGTGTAAAGGAAATGGCTTTAATATGGTTTCCTGTATATTGATAAATTGATAATGTGCTAGAATATAATCATTAAGCTTTTGATTTGCAAACTAGATAACAACTAAATATAACCTCTTCGAGGTTAGACTTAGCATATGATATACATTTTAGGCTTGCATGGTCAGTCTCAACTTAAATCGCATCACTTTATTCCTTGATTTTTGATTGTCCCTCTAGAGGCAAGCAGAATAACATAAAAGTTATTATTAAATTTGGATTTGCAATATCAGGTCTAGCTCAAATCACGTCACTTTGTTCTTTGATTTTTGATGGCCCCTCTTGAGGCAAACAGAATAGTAAAATTTTTTTGAAATATTATTTGGGATTAAAATCAGGCTAGAATGGTTAAATCAAATATTGTAATTCTTGGTATCAAATAGGTTAATTCCTAGTCAAGTTCGATATCATCATCTAGAATTGAGTCAAAATGCACTAGAGGCTTGAATTCGATAATTTGATTTATATAGCTAAAATGGATTCGTAGGCAGTCAGAAAACCTTTTTGGATATCTTTTGGATTTCTTTTGGATTTTTGTTCCAGAAACTCCATTTTTGCCTTACTACATTCATATGAGAGAATGCTTTCATCTTTTAAAAATTTTATCCATAAAAATTAATTTATCAGATTTATAATTTTTCCAATATGTATCATAAAAGCATTTCTAAATAATTCATTTTGTTCATATACTTCTTTATTTAACTAAAATATTATTATAGTTTAATATTTTGTAAAATGTTATAAATAATTAATAATAACATAAAAAAATCAATTCCTATTTTTGGATAATTCTACAGTATGTTAAAGTATGCCAAAGTGTTAGAACTGATATGTGTTTTTCCATTCTTAATTTTATTTGTTCTAATAATTCATCCAAAAATTAATCTACTTTATTAGCTACAATTGAATACAAATTCTATAAAAAAAATAAATAAATTTATTAAATTTAAATATATTTAAATATATTATTTTTTAATATTATCAAACATACATTCATTTTTTACTTATTAAATATTTTACTTCTACTTCTTAATTTTTTTAATAATCAATTATAATTTCCCACTTAGCATATATAAAAAACCTTATTAACAGTCCTTTTGCTAACATAAAGTAACTGTATAATTTTTTTCGTAAAAACATATTATTTTATAAAAATTCAATTTTCCATTAAAGGTCCTCACTCAAAGAAAATGGCATCTAAAGACTAAAGTTTTTTTTAAATATAGAATTTACATATATTTAATAAAGTCATAATTTTAAGTGTGAAAATCATAAATATTTTAGCTATAATTGTATCTTTTTTTTGTTAGTAAATAAAGTAAACTGTATATTTTACTTAGAAGTTAAGGAATCATAAGAAATCTCAAGTAAGTTTTAATAAAATACTTTAAAACAACCCATATCTTTGTAAAATATTAAACAATAATTTTAATCAACATTATTATTAAGTTTTTAAAAGGTTTTAAAATAATTTAATTTTAATTAAGTTTCCAAATATTTATTATAAAAATTTATATGTTTGTGTATTAATTAAATCACTTTATCATTTACAAATTCTTAATAAATTTTAATAATAAAGTTTTTCTTTATAATTTTAATAATATTATATTATAATTTAAGTTAAAATGATTATCATAGATTATCGAAATTTTTTTTAAAATTACAAAATTTAGCTTCTAAGTAACCTTAAAATTTTTTATTTATATAATTAAAAGATAAAACTTGTTACAATATTTTATAAGTAAATTGGAAGATAATTTTAGCAATTAACGGGAAATTTGCTTTTAAATCCATACAATTAAGGGATAACATTATTTTACAGAAAAAAAGAATTATTTATATAAAGAATCGAATTCGAAAGTGGGTGAATGTGCATCATTTTTTTTCTTTGATTAGCTACTCTATCTAGATAGAATTCTAGCTACACCGAATCGATTAGTAACTCTAAAGTCTATAGAACCTTTACTAAAATCAGATATGTTTTCATGAGAAGGTCCCAATAAAAGAAGGCATTTGTAGTAATTAAAAACCGTCGATATTTATCTTTTCTAAAAAACATAGGACAAAAACATATAATCTAGATATTTTTTTGTTTTACAATGTAATTTCAATATTTAGGCTAAAATATTCTTTTTAAAGGTATAAACTTGAATTATAGGCTGATTTTAATAGTAAAATGTCAAAAAAAAATTTATTGCACGAATAAAATGTGCTGGTGACGATTTTCTAATTTCGATTGGTGAATAAATTTACTGCGGGTATATCAGATCAGAGATAATTTCCAGTAATTTATGTGGCAAACAGGTTAATCGTTTTTTTTTATTTTTGCAAAAGTTATTTTTATTAATTTTATTGAATTATATATACTATCTACAATACTTTTTAACAAAAAATTATAATACAAAAGAAAAAGTGAATGAAATTTATGAATATCATATTTACAGTATCATTCACTCTTACAGATAACGTGTTTCTAGGGATTTCGGGTATAAAAAAGGCAAATATCGTTCTAATTATAGTAATCGAATAACGTATTTTCGATACTTCGATGCGATTCATTGGCATTTACTGAAGATTTTTTTTTCTAAATTTTTTAGAGAGAAAGCGAAATAGAAATGAAACATAATAATAATAATCATAAGAAATATTTTAAAAAAAGATAAAAAGAAAAGAGATGATGCATATGTAAGAATTTGAGATGATTTTTATGATTATCCATATTTTAGAGTATTTCCAATCGAGCAAATTCGTTATTTCATTCAATTCGAAATTAACTCGTGTTTTTAACTTTCGTATTTTATTATTCGTATACAGACATGTTAGGAGGTTGGTTATTCCTATGTCTATTAAAGATAGAAGATTTGTTTTCAAAATTCGTTTCCGTTTTTTTTTCGTTTTTTTTTCGTTTTTACGTTTATTGTATCTATACACCACACGTTTAATTTATGAAAATGCTATCGTAGATTAAAAGAATCATCGATAAACCCGTTTTCACGTTTTTGATCATTATAAGGTAGAGGATAATATTATGATAAGGATGATGGACATTTTTCGATGATGTCGCAAGTTTAAGAGTGATTTTTCAATGCGAATTTATAAGAAAAAATTCGTCAGTCACCTGGGGGGTTTTTTTTATTTAATCATTCTAAACCTTTTTTTATTATTTATTTATTTTTTTATAAAAAAAGAATTGATAAAGTTTGATAGATAAGAATAATGAATATAACAATTTATTGACTAAAAAAAACGGAGAATCAACGGACGATTTGACCGGTATTATTTAGAACAATTATCTTGAGAAAAAAAATGCAAATAAATAATTATGGCGTTTTCAAAAGAATGTTATCTTTATCGAGATAAATGAAAAACCCTGATAGGTGGCTTTGTAGAAGAATATTAGAAATATTGTCATAACAAAAAAAAAATTTCCGATTATTCTATTGTAGTTACTATAAGTAACAATCCCTTGTGAAAAAAGGTTTATCAACATCAGTGATTATAACCTTTTTTAGTAAATGTATTGATAATCAATGATTGTAGAATTTTGATTATCAACAATAATAATTTTTCTATTTTAAAAAAAATGTCTTATCAAGATTAGAACAATCAAAGGACTTATCAAAGATCAGCAATCACAGCACAAAACGCTTTCCTTCCTTTTATGACTTGATTAAAGTTTAAGCCTTATTGCATTTTATTCGTGAGATTTTAAAGCAATTACATCATTTTCTCACGATTTCCTCTTTTATTGTTGTTTAAGGTTTAATCACGAGTTCTCTAAATTTGATTCTTCAGCCCATAAGCCATTTAGATGCCTATTTGGGGTATCATTTGGGTGCGTGTCTGCATATATGACGCAAATTATTTTTTTTTAAAAAAAAAAAATATGGCTATATATAAAATGAAAATTTTGGGAATTTGGGAATTTTAGTAAAAATTTTACTCAATTATGTAGACATAACTTTAAGAGAGTGGTCCTCAAGTTCGGTCGATGAAAAGACGATACGTACGGTCGTCCAAACTTTTTTTTTTATATCGACTTTTAAAACTTTAACACTCGTAAAAGACGATCCTACCTACACATTTCATTCGGATGCACATCATTTCGCTCAATATTTCTTTAGAAATGTATGGCTTAATCTTCTAATATCCTCGAGATTAGCTCAGGGAAATCGTTTATTCAACAGTCTTAATCTTCTAATGTCCTCGAGATTAACTCAAGGACAACGTTTATTCAACAGTCAAAATCTAAATCATTCGTCAACCGTTCCCGGATTTGACCAAAAAAACAATGATGATACAATATTAAATGCTACAAATCGATCCTTTTTTTGAAAAAGATTTAGGAAAAAATCGAAAACAAAAACAAAATAAAAAAAATTATTTCGACTTTAATAATACATGATTACTATATTATATTGACAAAGTCAAATCAATGATAGAAATTACTTATTTGGTCCCTCACTATGAGCCAATTCTAATCATTGCAACAACAACAACATAACAACAACAGCTTACCAACAACAGCATTTCGACTCCCGAAGCTTTCAATCCATCATCATCTTGGACATCACCAGTCAGATTCACTCTTAACCAACCTTCATGAAGCTATGGAAAATTTTCAACTTTTCTATCGCTGGCCCTTTTATGGGTAAGTTCTTCGCGACGGAATTTTGGATTTTGGAAAAAGCTCTTATGGTTCAAAAAAAAAAGAGCGATAATGATTTCCGCTTCCATGTGAAATGAGATTTTTTTTTAAAAAGTCCTTTTAAAATTGTTTAGTGAACTGATTAAATTGCTTGTGGGAAATGCAGGAATTTTGGGATATGTGTAAGAGTATGTAGGGATTCCGGTACGATGCGTATCTTGGACCTGTTAGGTATGGACGTATTGGTCCTACGAAAAGAAGGATGTTCTTTCACACATACGTTTGCATTTCCGCACCAAAAAAAAAAAAAAAAAAAAAGAATTTGTAAAAATATGATCCAAATTCATTTGTTTTTGTTTTGTTAGTTTTTTCCCCTAAAACTTTTCTATCTTTTTAAAATGTTTAGCATTTTTTTAAAAAAAAAAAAAAAAAAAAAAAAAAGAGATTCCAAAATAGTATTAAATCAGCTTCAAATATTGAAGTAAACATTGTTTATTCTTTTAATAAAGATTGAACGTTTTGACTGACTATATATATTGTCCTGCCTATTTTTCAAGCAATATTTTCAAATTTAAAAAAATGTTAATTTTCAATAAAAATCAACCGCTTGAAAATTTTCGGTTCTGGCGCAGTATTTTAAAACGTTATTGTCGAATTTCTATCGGTGTCAAATTTTATTTGCGAAATATCTTTCTTTAATCACAAAATATAAAAATATTTGTACTACTAACAAACGATCGAATTAGTTCAATCATGACCAAGTATATCTCATTTTTTGATTCAATTTAATTATTCATCATATACTGATAAAGACATACACTGCTAAGCTTTTCGATAATAAACTATACGACACAATGTATCATCTGACTTTGTCTGGAAATTTATCTTTGATGTGGATGGATTTAACGACCAATATTCACTTCTTTTAAGAGCGGGCGCAATTAAAGGGGTAGCGAAGAATAAGACGTTTGTTTTTACTCGAAATATGTAATTCTCAGCCATATTAATCACGTGACTGTAACTGTTATACAAGAATTTTTTTAAGCATTTCACGAAAAAGTATTTCTGGTTCCAAAAAAGGAAATGATAATATGCGGTTTCTGCAATTATCGGAAAATCACTGGAATTTATCCGGTTCAAAAGAAGAGTAGTTTTCCGTCGATCTTGGTAACATCAATTTTTTTTTTTTTTTTTAAAAAAAAAGTTTTTTTTATTATTACTCCCATTCATATGGGGATAAATGGTCAAAGGGTATTTGTCACTTTTGGTAAATAATTTTTTTTTTTTGTAATTAACTATGTTCAGCCAACATAAAATTAATAAAGATATCATTAATATTTAATTTTATTGAAATAAATAAATTTGAGATTAAAAAGCAAAATATGCAATAAATTAAGCTTGGCAATATTTTTATAATTATATAATTGTGAAATGAGGTAATGAGGAATGAATAAATACGATATTATCTGGTCCCTCTCATTTTTTTATCTGAGTGGTTTTTTCTTTTTGGAAACGGAGAGAGGGAAGCAAAGAATGCTAATTAAATGGGTGAGAACAAAGGAATGAATTAACGCCGTTGAAAAAATTGTTCTCGAACACGTCATTTGTTACTTGTGACAGAGTCATTTGAGAGATTCTATGAAGGGTGTCTTCTTGGTTTGTCATGCGAATATGCGTTAGTCGTCTTTGGTTTATATGATTTGCATCATTCGCCAAAGTTGAAAATTGGTTTCTTTGATAGGTTCCGAAATGTATATTCCATATACGAACGGTTGCTAGATTAATTATACGCTGACGATGTATATGCAACCGATTGGCTTCGCGTTGTATATTTTGTTTCAATAAACATTTTCCCGTTAACCTTTGAATTCTTCCACCATTTCTTGCTTGCGCCGCAACTATTTGTGCATCATTATTATAAGGAGGAATGCGAATTCTGTTCTCATTAATACGAGATAAAAAATCATTCAATATTGAACGGTAAGATCTTTGAGGATACATTTTTTTTTTATCGCGGTTTAGGATCGAAATACAGTATATATACTTACGTATTTGTATATGTCAATTTCTACATAATATCACATCCAAAACTGTAAGACTACTTATTTAATTATTATTCACATCTATATTTAGAATTCAACTTTTTTTTTTTTTTTAAAATATCAGTAAGTGGATAAATAATTCCGTATATTTGTCATCATGTGATAATGTGATAAGACGTTAAGTCATTTGACGATGGGAAATGTGACACTATGGGAAATAACAAGGATACCCTTTTTTGGATAAGAGGTACATTTAATTCCTAAAATAAGCACCCCTTTTGCTATAAGGGTGCTTAATTTCGAGTATTATTTTTAGTAAAAAATTCAATCGACGATATCGAGTTATCTAGTGATCACAGAATGATGATCTTTAGCTCATTGTAGTATATATATAAATGTGGGAGTTATTTTTGGGGTATGCTTATTTCGTAATTATGCGGTACTTCAATGAGAAGCGCACAATAAAAATAAATAATCTAGGGATATTAACAAGTTTGCGGATTTCAGATGCCATATGGGAGCCTGTAATATGCGATACGTGATATGAGCTTATTACATTTTAAGTTTTTTGAAGTTTTTATTAACGAAATGTTTTCAAACCGGTTTGAGATATTAAGTTTAATCTTCTATATTCGTCTGAGACATTTTTATCGATCTTGATAGAATTAATATCAAACGAATGGATATCTAATTGGTTCCATGCGGGGGTCCTACTCAAAATTAGTCACAAAAACGTAGTACACTTCCAATTTATTATTACTAATCATCTATATCGATTCAATCCATACGTCCGGGATAAAATATTTGACTTTAATTTAAAATATTTTGATTCATCTATATGAATAAAATTTGGAACATCAAGGCAAAAAAAAAAAATTGATGAATTTATTTTGTAAATTTCAACGTTTGCAACAGACAAATTTTAATCAAATAAATTTTCATGGTCTTAGTCTGGCCGGAATTATTATTTCCTTTTTTTTTTAGTCAGTAAAATATATACAGTGATGGGCATTGAGAATTGGAATTTCGAATTATTCCAATATTTTAAATGGAATTGAAAAGCACTTCTATCGTATAGTTAATAATAAAGATACATACATATATATACAGTACTTTATTGTGTGATTATTTCAAAGGATTATTATTTAATATCCAATTTTAACATTGTTATTTCTACCGCTCCATCAAATTTATTTTTTGTTGTGATAAATCCTCCTATTGCTGTATTGTATACAACCAACGAACGTGTATTTGAGCATTCTTTTGATTATAGTTTATACAATAATATCAATTTGACAAAATTAAAACGAGGTGCTTGTCGCAAGCAATTTAATATACTGTTGTATTTATGTATTAGACGCGTAATGATCTTTGCGACAGATTTGAGGATATCGATATACTGTAAAACACTGTAGAATAATTATTTAATTGTTTTTACTTACAAGGAATAACTTATAATTCAAAATATTATATTTTAAATAATACCTAAGCTCAGGTGCAATTAATTAGTTTATGATTTATTTAATAAAATAAATTTTTTCGAGATATATTATTATAAAAGTTAAAACAAAAATTTTTTTTTTTCGTTTTCGATGAAGGAATATTATTCCAGTAATGACTGAATAAATTCTTGTTTGACATTAAATTAATTGTTTTAAACACAAATCATTATTGATTAGGCTTGAGGAAACCTTGGCCTAACTTTAACCTTTAATTCCGAACACATACTTATAAACTTATATTCTAAATTCATGGGGGCATCCATATCTACTAATGTGATATCAAAATTTCTATAGATCAAAAATATTAAGTATTTCATTTCTAATATAGCGATCTTTCTTCCAGGGCAACCCCGCGCTCCACCTCCAAACGCTAAATGTGTATTCCTTAATGGTTCGGATTCCATAAATCGATCAGGATTAAATTTATAAGGGTCTTTCCAAAAAGCAGGATTCTTGTGAATCCCTTCAGTATATATTTCGAATGACGTACTTGCAGACCATTCATAACCGGCTATAATATCTTTTGTAGTAGATTCACGAGGGAGTGTCTTTGAAGGATTTACAAGACGAGTACATTCATTGAATACAGCTTCCGTATAATGCATTTTCGAAAGATCTTCCACCGTGATTTGTCGATCTTTCTCGAAACCAAAGATTGTATCAAGTTCTTGTCGTAAACGAGTCAATACATCAGGGTAATGAGCTAAATGATACACCATGGTACATAATGAACTTGCGGATGTTTCAATTCCACCAGAAATTGCCTCAAGTATAATTTGATGAATTTGATTATTATTTAAAGGTTTAGAATGTTCTTCGTCAACATGTTTTTGATCGATAAGCTCCCGTTCAGTATTCATTGTGATCAATAATGTTAACATGTCCTGTCTTAATTTTTCATCAATCGAAGTTTGCTTAATTTCTTTTCGTCGAGTATCAATAACCTTGGTTAAAATATCAAAAGTCTGCTTTCTATTCTTTAGCGCCGCAATGTTCTTCTTTCTTAAGATGGTATGTCTGACTAATGAAGGAATTGTGAGAAAAAAGCCTATATTATCTAAACCTTCTTTAATAATGTCAGGAAAAACTTCAATTTCTTTATCAATGGGATTTGTTTCAGTGTCTTTTTTCTTTGATGATTCGACAATACTATTAAAGTATGGTTTCAATCCGTTAACCCTTAAACCAACGAAAGCTTGGAAGACGATCTCAGTCATGAATTTATGAATCCAAATTGAAAAGTCAATTGGTACATCCTCACCAATATCCTTCCAATGTTCTTTTAATTCATCGAATATTATCGGAATCAAATTTACAATCTCTTTGGCAAAATTCGGAGCGAGGATGACCTTGGTAATGAATTCTCGATTAAATTTCCAAGTAGGAATGTGTGAATTAAATGTCATCCCTGTTTTTGAAACTCCTAATTCATCAAATGCGGGAATATTTCCCACTCTTAACGTGTAAGCGTTCTTTGTGAAAGGTGACATCATCTTCTCGATGTAATTAAGATCAGCTTTTTGATAGATATGAGAAGTGAAAAATTAAGATACATGAAGAATGTCAAATAATATTTAATTTACAGGAAGAAATTTTAGTATTATAGAATAATCCACTAAATATATCAAGAATGGTAGGATACAGACCCCTAATATTTTATGGTCATCCTAAAAAGGATCTAGAAGATTAGTTTAGGGATATGCAAAGATATATAATAGCTAGTCAAATAAATGTTACGCCTGATGCAGGTTAGACTTCACAAAGAGAAAAGGCATTTGGATTAATAGGATGAATAGTATCATATCTTGCAGATGATACATTTAATTTTGATTTAACTTGTATTAAAGGTAAAAATTGGAGATGTAATAATCTCTCAGACAATTTGGGAGTATTTACTTTAACTGCTATTCGAGAAATAGATGCTGGAAATCGTGGTAATCAAATTGGTGATTTGAATACTGCTGGAGAATTTCAAGATAAAGCGGCCACTGAAATTGGTAGAATTGGAGCAAGAGTCGCAACAGGTACTAATATTATTTCAAATAGAACATAGGATGAAGATTGGTCTATAGCTGGTGACGAATCTGTAGATAATGCACCAGTAGCATCTAATGCTGGAAGTGGTCTTTCTGCTATTATTATTGCTTCTGGTATTAAACTTGGTCAACTTTTATATCTGTTTAGAACTGCTTATACAATAGTTAAATACTTAAAACAAATAGCAATTTTTGGTCAACTCATGTAAGGTGATATGTCAGTTGAGTTCTCCATTAGAATTAAAAAGATTGGTAAACTAGCTGAAATGATTTCTAAACAATTTATTTGTAGTCTGTCTCTAATAAATCAATATAATCTTTGAATAATGGCTAAATTTATGATACATAAGATAATATTACAATAGCTCTAGCTGAAGTAAAAAATTTACATTATCTCAAAAGAACGCACTGTCTTCTTTTCCAATTTTTCTAGCAGCCAATCTATATGCAGATACTAACATATCAGGGATGACTAAACATGAAATTGAGAGCTTGGTAAAAAAATACAATAATATCCTCAGAACCTCAATGGTCTTAACAAGTGACTTCATCGCAATTCCAATCATAACCTGCAGAAATGCATAAAAATTTACGAGATGAGAATATAGGCAGATTTTTATCATGGATTATGAGAGAAATCCCAGAATTTATTCTTGTTCCTAATCCTACTTTACCGCCAAAGCCAAATAAAAGGTTGAGGTTAATTCTGATAATAATCTTTCTGAACTCACAAAAAGGCAGTTAAAGTTACATGTGGTTAAAGCTGTTAAAAAAACTATAAACATACAATATAAATGTTCAATCTGTGATAAGCCTAGACATAATTCTCGCAAATGCTCTCAGAAGAAGAAAAAGAAAAACAAGAAGTCTAAAAAAAGTAAGGTTAATCTCATTACTTTAGATCTGACCTCAGATTCGAATTCAGATTCTTCTTCTGATATCTCATCTAGTGATAATTCTGATTCTGATTCAAGTTCTTCTGATTCTTCTGATTCTGAAGGTGAACTTAATATTAATATAACTAAGATAAAAAAAAAAGTAAAGTAGAAGTCTAGCTCTAAGAAATCTAGTTCCAAGAAATCACCATCTAAGAAACACTCTAAGAAAAAAAACAAGTCTAATAGTATAACACCTTTGGCTAAATCTACTGAACAGATTGGTAAAGTAGATTCTAAGAAGCCAATAAATAGATCTAGTAAGGCTAAATGAAGCATGCTGGAAGAAACTATTTGTAAAATTCTCCAAAGTGAACTTAAATTAATTTTTTCTGCATTAATTTCTCAAGATTCTATTTCCAGTTTCAATAAAGCTGATACACTAAAACAAGTGCTTTCTATTCAGAAGAAGAAAATGTTTTAGAGTGATAAGACTTTAATTACCAAAGACATTTTATCAGACCTAGAGGAGGAAGAATATTTGGATGATCCTATAGAGATAGACTTTGTCCAAAGAAAAGAACCTGCCACAAATATTATTACTGTTAAATGTAAAATTAAGCATCTAGTGATTTTGGTGGGCACAGTCAATTCTGATGCTAATTTTCTGATTATATCTGAAGATATCTCTAAATAATCAAAGCTAGAAATTGATACAAAAGAAAGATATAATTTTAGAGGTATTGCTACTACCCCCATAGAATCACTTGGAATTATTAGAAATGTTTCAGTAAATTTTACTTCTAGATGTACTATATATGCTGATTTTGCTGTAATTAAATATTCTAAGCTGATGCTAATCTTATCCAATATGCTTCTCGATAAATATAATTATGATCTGCTTGCATCAAAGCAGGAGTTGATATTAGAGTATAATAGTAAGGAATTTTTATTCTAATCAATATGCATAAGGTCAAGAATAAGCTTGAAGTGAATTGTGTGAACATTACTTCTGAATATGATGTTTCCTTAACTCCAGATAAATTTCGCAAGACTTGTAGGACTTAAGTGAGAATGATAATGTATTAAAAAACACATAAACTATAAGGATATGGTAAATTGTATAAAAAAACTTGAGAAATAGCTTTTTAATGCAATCAAGTTCAATACAGAAATCAATGAGTTTTGCGAAAGTCTTTTTAAAGAATAGGCAAGTTATTTTCAGGATAATGCTTCTTTTTTACATCTATAATTTTTGTATTTTTTTCAGCTATCTTCTCATAAAATACATCTAAATTTACATTATTTGTATCCTTCTTTGAAGTCTGGATTGGCTGAGTCTGAATATTAGATGGTTCAGAAATCTGAACAGATTTCGATTTCTTTCCTCTAGTCTTTTTTGACTTATCGCCTAAAATAACACTCACTTCTAAAGCCAAATTGGTAGATTTACTAGGTTCAACCTTAACATTGCATATCTTTTTTTCCAGTTCTGTAAAGGGGAATGTATTTTGGTTATGTATATCTGACTCAGTTTGCTTTATCTTATTAGTTTAGGAATTTTCATCCAAAACAAGCTGACCAGAGGAAAATGAAATAACTCCTTGCTGAAGGCATTCTTTATTATCTCATATTTCATAAACACACTTAGGTCTGATATGAAATTTATCAGCCATTTTTTTGATGCATTGGGTATCTTACCTCTTAATTCTCTAATTTCCTTGATATCAGCTTCTGATAACAGGGTTGCCTTAGTATCATAATATGTATTATAGAGACAGGCTATCATCTTCACTTGATTTTATACTAGAAAAAAATATTAATACTTTTCAATAAATATCAATGTGTCAATATGTATAGTTAAACCTTGATATAGTAAACCCTTGATATAGCAATTTTTTCAATCAAATATATTAAATTATCTTACTATAGTGAACTAGCCAATAATTGAATTCTTTAAAAAATTCATTATAAGCTTATAACGAAGTTGATATCCAGATCCTAAAATTCGTTATATCAAGAGTTCACTGTATATATCAATACTCTTTAATGTGTATTAATATATTTCAATGCCTACCAATATGTATTAATACTCTTCAATATATATTAATATGTTTTCAATACTCACTAATATGTATCAATATGAATAGTATTTATAGAAAAATAAAGTGCTTCTGAAATTTCTGGACTATGCAGTCTCAAAAAATTGCAACATATTTTTTTTCTACTATATAACTATGCCAATATTATATCCAATATACATATACTAAAGATATAAAAAATAGAAGACATCAGCTGGGTAGTACATATGAGTAAAAGCTCGAAAAAAATTAAGATCTGCTATTGATTTTAACTCTAAAATTATTGATTTTAACAAAAAGTTGCAGGCTGAAAATTCGAAGTTCCATCAAATCTATACTGATATTGAAAATAAAGTTAGCCAGTTAAATAATGCATATATTGAGCTTAGATCCCAATTTACTTCTAAACGGAAGTCTCATTCTGAAAGTCAACATGAGCATGAAGCAGAACGAGCTAATTATTCTGCCAAAATCAAATCACTCAAATCAAAAATTAAAAACACTAAAGAGAAAGACGACTTTAACGCAGAAAGCTTCGTCTGCTAACAAGGTTAAGATACTTTCTCTTGAAGCTAAGGTAGTTGAATTGGAAGGTAAGTTGCTAGATCTAGAACTAGAACATGATTCAAATATAGTATAAGGATTACTAGAGGAGTCAGCCCAAATAAACTCATCTGATCTCAAAGAGAATAATTCTCTTAGACTTGAATTGAAATAGGCAAAGGATGATTTATTCTCAAAAGATTATATGATAAAATGCATAGAAAAAGGGATAGAATTATCACATAATATATTCAAATGGAAAATAAATATTCTGTCTTAAGGACGATTAAAGTTAATAGATAAAAATTTCCACCTTTGAAAGATAATCTCAAAAAAAAATAATGAAATAATAGATCTCTCTAATCCTCCACCTTCACCTATAAATGATTCATCGCAAAAGCTACTAAGTTGGGTCAATGATAATTTAAGACCCCTTGTCTATGAATGTGGTTTTGAAGATAAAGTTATAGAAGTTTTGCCAGAAAAAATATATTAGAGGCTTTACAAGAACTATTACCTAGTATGAGATGATTTCAAAAAGCCAGACAGATACCCTCACTAGTCAAAATCATTTCTTTTAGCATTAATACCATTCGGTTAACATTCAGCTAATTCAGTCATGTGATTTGGCAAAAATTTGGTTTAAGTTACAAAAATCAATAGTCATTTGTTAAACTGCACATAATTTAGCATTATTTCAGCATTAGATCTTTCATCAAACATTTAGCCGATTCAGTCATATGATTCAGAAAAAATTCAGCTTAAGTTATAAAAATCGATAGTAATTTATTATATTACATATAATTTAGCATTATTTCAGCATTAAGACCTTTTGGTTATAATATTTAGCAAAATTTCAGTTAGAATCAAGATTTGGCAACAAATCGATTGTATCTCACTGGTCAAAATCTATTGAGCCAATTTTTGTGAAATTATAAAAATATTTTGAGAGTAATCATTCCAAAGAGATGATAGAAATTGTTTCTAAAGGAACGAACAATCGTTTCTAAAGGAATGATAGGAATTATTTCTAAAGAAACGAACAATCGTTCCCAAAGAAACGATAAAAATCATCCTCAAAGGAATGATAGAAATCGTTTCTAAAAGAACGAACAATCGTTCTAAAAGGAATGATAAAAATTGTTTCAAAAGGAACGAACATTCATTCCTGAAAAGACAATAAAAGTCATCCCTAAAGGAATAATACAATCGTTCTAAAAGAGATGATAGAAACTGTCTCAAAAGGAACGAACATTCATTCCCAAAGAGATGATAGAAATCGTTCCTAAAGAAATGAAATATCATTTCCAAAAAGATGACAGAAATCATTCCTAAAGAAACGATTCAATTATCATTCTGAAAGAACAATTTTATTATCATTTTATTGGAACGATATATCATCGTTTTAAAAGAACAATGATTTTTTTATTGTTCTTTCGGAATGATACATTATTGTTCTGAAAGAATGATTTTTTCATCAATTTTAAGAAACAATATATTATTGTTCCTTTAGAATAATGATTTTTTTATCGTTCTTTCAGAAGGATTAAATTATCATTCTAAAAAGAATGATGTTTTTCATCATTCTGAAAGAATATTTTTTCATCATTTTTAAGGAACAATACATCATCATTCCAAAAGTACAATGATTTTTTTATCGTTCTTTTGAAACGATTTATCATTGTTCTTTTAGAACGATTTTTTTATCATTTTAAGAAACGATACATCATTGTTCTAAAAGAACAATGATTTTTTTTAATGTTCTTTTAGAACAATGTATCATCGTTCCTTTAGAATGATGATTTTTTTATTGTTCTTTCAGAATAATTCATCATCGTTCTGAAAAGAACAATATTTTTTATCGTTCTTTTGGAATGATAATTTAATCGTTCTGAAATGAATAATATTTTTTATTATTCTTTCAGAATATATATAATTATTTCTTTAGAACAATATTTTTTTATCATTCTATTAGAACAATTTTGCCATTGTTCATAAGAAATAATCAAACTATCATTGATTTTGCAATTGAATGATGCAAAATCATCTGTTTAGAACATTTATGATAAATAGTATAAATAATATCTAAATTTTAGATTAATTGAAATTTTAGTTTAGTTTACAGTATAAAACTGATAAACTTTCGAAATATTCTGAAAATTTTATTTCTTCCTTTTTTTTTTAGTGAGGCGATTTTGGACAGAAATAGAAAATTCTTATTTTGAAAATAAAGTAAGCGAATCGGAAGTGACTTTGTGACAGTAAGCCTTTCAGAGGTAATTTTTAGTGGTTTTCTAACTATTTTCTTTATTTTTTCTTTACTTTCTTTAGGAATTGAATACATTAAAGTAAGTCTTTCAGAGATGTTATTTTGGTGGTTTTCTAACTGTTTTCTTTATTTTTCTTTATTTTTTTTAGGAATACATTAAGGCAGAGTTGGCAAAAGACCTTAAAATAATCTTGAAATAACCTCAAATAACCTTATTATTATTATAAATTTTAAGTCAAAAGACCTTATAATTTGCCATCACTGCATTAAGGTAAGCCTTTCAAAGATGGTATTTTGGTAGTCTTCTAACTGTTTTCTTTATTTTTTCTTCACTTTTTTTTTTAGAAATAAATTAAGGTTAGCTTTTCAAAGGTGGTTTTAGTGGGTTTTCTAACTGATTTCTTTATTTTTTCTTATCTTTAAAAAATCAAATATATTTTTTTTGAATAAAATAAAATACAATATGTATTCTTTTTGAATAATTTATTATGTAATAATAAAATAAATTATAAATCATAAATAAACAAAAAACGAGTTTTATTAGTTTTGATTTTATAAATAGTTGCTTAATTGATTTTTGCTGATTGTTGACTAATTTTAAACTGATTTATGCTGAATTTTGACCAATTTTTAATATAAATACTGATTTGGTAGCCAATTTTCTATTTATTCAAAATACTGATTTTTTGGTAATGATTGGCAGAATTAGACTATATTTGGCTAACTTTTGACACTTTAAATGTGACGAATTGTATTATTTTGCCTAATGATATATCAAATAATTACCAATCGTTAATATCAAATGTTTTTTTGTGTAGCATCTGAATTGGACAACTTCAGCTATAACTAAAAATGCTGATTGTTTTAACAATAATCAGAAGAAATTAGATTATATTTTGGCCAACATTTGGCACTTTAAAAAAGTGACAAAATGTATTATTTCGACTAGTGGCTTTACATATAACAACTTTTATCATTTTGTTTAAAATTTATTTCATTATCTAATATAGAATTTTATATTAATAGCTCTTTAATCAATTTAAATACACCTTCTATAAGAATAAGATTGGTTTGAATTTAGAATGCATTTTATCTCATTTTATTATTAATTAAAGTCATAAAATTTCTTAATAAATTATAAAAAAGATAATAATAATAAAATTTTCTATATAAGTAATTTTATAATATTCTATAATAATTAATATAGTTAAAAGTAATTCTAAAAAGTTTATTATAGATTATAGATAAGAAATGAAATCTAAAAAAAGCAATTAATAAATATGCAAAATTATATTAAAATATAGTTAGGAATACAATGAAATCCTAAATCTAAAATTAGCTAAAACTATATTAAAATATAGTAAGAAATATGATAAAATTATTTTGAAGGAGTTTTGGGAAAACATCTATATCATAGATTAATAATAAAATTTTTTAAGATAAATTTTTTTTAAAAATTACAATTTTTAACTTTAAAATAACATCAAATTTTTTTATATAATTAAAAGATAAAACATGTTATAATATAATATATATTTATAAAATTAATTTAAAAAAAAAAAAAATATTAATTATTTATAAAAGTAAATCATAAAAGAATTCATAATAAAAAGCAAGCAAATTTGCTTATGAAATCCTATGATATAAGGGATAGATAAAAACTAACTACAATGACTATTATACTTAAAATATTAAATAATTCAAAAATTAAACTTAATCTCTAATTCAAATGACAACTTAATCACCTAGTATTACAACATATAATATAGTCTAATTATTATTGAAATATATATTAAATTTTGGTAATTACTTTCTTAAACTTCATTAATAATTCTAGTAATATAAGATATAAGATTGTATTATTATAAATTAATTAGTGAAGGCCAAGTTTCTATT